CACACACACACACACACACACACACACACACACACACACACACACACCCCTACCTTTCAAGCCAGCCCTTCTCACTCTTTCTTGATTTTGGATCTGCTCAGGCAAATGAACAGAGCCTACTCACTTCCTCTTTCACAGTCCAAAAAACCCAAAATGATTTAACTGTTACAATCTACGACCCCGCCTCCCAATTCCTAGAAATATTCAATTGACAACACTAGGCACCATTCAGTGAGGCTAGGGAGCTCTCCTTTGAACAGTGGGTTAAACTTGTCTATGAAGAGCCAGGGAGCCATTTCTCCCGGGATCTTACCGACAGGTAATAGCTTCCCTCAAGCCTTCCCCAGTGGTCCAGCCCTTGGCTGGAGCAGGAATCGGTCAGTGGGCTGGTTCCCTCTCTTTCTCTCCCCTTGCAGCCAGGGCATTGCAGGGACCCACAAAGCCATCATCCCCTCCAATCCACTGCCTTGCACACGCAGCCTCAGCCCTGTCATCGACCCTGCAATCACTGTAGCCTCTCCCTCATTTACTTGCTCACCCATCTCTTGACGCTCCATGCAGCCTCCCCAGAGGCACAGTACTAGCCTACAGTGGAACACAGCCCCAGAGCCTCTGACTCTGCCCACTAATGCCCCCGGTGCTCTCTGGGGCGCTGTGCCCGGCTGCCCCCGAGCTGCCCAACTCTGCCAACTTCTCAGGAAAGGCCAAAAGCAGGGTGCCTGGCCTCCAAGTGAGCCCCATGACACTACCATAGGCAGCAAGACCACAGTGTGCATGGCCAGTCCCAGTCCCACCATGAGCACCCACCATGCCAGGCAAAGTTTGCACGTGCACATACAGGGCACTGCAGGGCCCAGTCGGTCACAGAACATCAGGTGCACTGGCTGCAAAGGTGCCCCATGAGGACCTCCCCTTCCCACAGCTCCTGTGGGACCCCAGCTCCCTACCCCCAGGATTCAGGTATCTGTCACTGCTTTGTAAGGCAGGAATAATCCCTCTTCCTACTCCCCCCCACGCTTACCAGCTGCCCTGGATCAGGAAGGGGCTACTCGGGACATCCTTCCTCTTGGGGCTGCTGCAGCCCAAGGCTGGGTGATGAACCCTGGACGCTGAATGTTTCCCAGAGGCACCCAGGGATGGTGCTGAGGCTGGGCAAGAGACCCAGGCAGCTCCCTCCTGGTGGGCTGCACTTGCTTTCCTTGCCTGCAGAACTCTGTTTCCTGCTTTCTCACCTGCCTCGCCAGGATTGCCAGATTTCTACTGCATTAATAAACCAAAGTCACTTAAAAACTAGCCCCAAACTAAGTAACCCAATCTATTTATTGAAACCAATTTTTTTAATTAACACATTAGTCTATACATAAATAATATATGAAAAATTTTGGTGGATACCTCGTACAGATTTGATTAAATAAATAAATAAAAGCTACAAGTCCCAGCAGGAGTTCTCCACATTAGCAACAAAGCTATGAGATGACAATCAAATTCAAAATCCAAACCCCAAGGAGAATTTTGACAGGAAGGTCACTCCACTAACTGCCCCCACCTCAACCATATTAAAGTCCCCTTTACAGACAGACATCCACACACACAGCCCAGATGAGACACCCTAAAAAAACCCTGACAGCCAATGACCCCCACTAAAAATCCTTCCACCCAGAGTCCCCTACACCCTAGAAAAACCCAGAGCCCCAATATAAGCTGTCACCCAGACTTCTCCTCCCTCTCCCCACAAATAAACATCCTGCAACCCAGAGCCCCCTGGCCTCCCTGTCACCTCAATAAACACCCTTCCATCCAGAACCCCCTGCCCTCCATTAATCACCGTCACCCAAATAAAAACCCTGCGATCCAGAGCCCTCTGCCCCCAGTAATCACCCTGTCACCCCAACAAATACCCTGCACTCCAGCACCCCCTGCCCCCAGTAATCACCCTATCACCCCAACAAATACCCTGCCATCCAGAGCCCCTTGGCCCCCAGTAATCACCCTGTCAGT